GAAAGAGTAGAAGTGTTAAGAGAATTCTACACCAAATCCTCTCTATCTCACAAGGTGTGTTCTTAAGATGATGCTCTAAATCACAGTGGTGAAACCCTGGGTAGACACCTATTCAGAGGTATAGAAAAAAAAAATCTTTAACAATCCACAGTTCTCGATGTGATTGCTGTAGCTGGGCAGAGAGGTGATTGAGCTCATTTGGGAAGCCATACGATGCTGCTATTTGCCGCTCAAATGTGCTAACATGGTAGAAGGAACCCTGGCAACCTCACAATTCCTAAAAAGAAGGAGCAGAGCATAGCTTTGGTCTGAGTGGAATTCATGAAACACCCGAGGGGAGGTGATGCCTCCTTGGGAAGAATGGCTGTTATCTGTGGGAAGAGAGGGCCACAAGCCTTTGAATCCACTGGGGGGAAAGCGGACAGTGAGGAGAATGGAATGGAAGATCTATGGCATCCCTGTCCATCGGTGGGTGCCAATTTTCTACATGTGAAATTATGGGAATCTACGTATAGGTTCTCCAAATGGTTTAAACAAGGACTTTGTTAATACCTTCCGTGGTCACTGGGTATCAGGTGACAATTCACAGAGGTGTGGAGGCCAAACAATTCTAGAAAAGTCAAAACAAACTTAACAACTTTATTATTAGTTTTTCTTTAGAAATAATTTGATGTAATTTAAGATTATATTTTCATTGCTAAATATGATCAATTTAATGTGAACTGATGGCAAGTTATGAATAAACTACACGGGTCTTTCATATGCCTAGTGGCCAGACAAGTTCCGGTCTATGCTCTCGAAAACACTAGAGAACAACCACAACGAAAGACCCAACTCACTCAAAATGGGAGTCGCAAAGCCTACATACCTTTGTGCATTAGACTGTCCCTCAATCTTTCAAGTTTATGGACTCACATGTGCTAGGTAGAGATGCTTATTCACAGTCTTGAGGTTTTCTTACAGGAAAAGGAAGCCCCTTTAGCTGTAAGTCTCTTGGCTTCTGGAAGACCGACTTATTCCCTTAGAATCTAGGACGAAGCCTGGACAAGGACTGCTCAGGCAGTCTTCCTGCATTCGCAGGGAGCACGCCATGGCCTCCGCTCCTCCAAGCTCTAAGAGGGCACTGGCCACTTCAGGGCTTACTGGAACTGGTGAGTAAGTCAATCTGAGTCTAGGGTACAGCAGGCAGAAACAACTGGTTCACTGTGTAAACAGCGTCTTCTCATGTCTGCTGTGTCACTCATCAAATTGCTATTTTGACTCCCAAATGTCTTACTCCATTGTCTTTTTTTTTTTTTTTTTTGAGATGGAGTTTTGCTCTTGTTGCCCAGGTGGGAGTGCAGTGGCATGATCTCGGCTCACTGCAACCTCCATCTCCCAGGTTCAAGTGATTCACCTGCCTCAGCCTCCCGAGTAGCTGGGACTACAGGGATGCACCACTACGCCTGGCTAATTTTTTATATTTTTGTATTTTTAGTAGAGACGGGGTTTCGCCATGTTGGTCAGCCTGGTCTTGAACTCCCGACCTCAGGTGATCCAGCCCCATTGGCCTCCCAAACTACTGGAGTTACAGGCGTGAGCCACCACGCCTGGCCTCTTACTATACTGTCTTATTCCTCAATCAATTAAGAATCAGAGATGAAAATGGGGGCTATTAAGTAATCCCCCTGCCCCCATCTAAAGACCATGACAGCACTGAGCAAAGTTGAGCACATGAGTGTCTGATGCAGCAAGAGTGTACGAGAGGCAAAGACACAGTGAAGAGAGCACAGGTACTGCTGCAAGAGGCTGATGCTCTGTCTGTGTGCAGGAGATCAAGGTGGAGTGGATTGAGCGAAACTGTGCTTGCATTACTGGAGACTGGAATCATGAATTTTGTAATAATGACATTGGCATACACATTTAAATGATATGCAATATCCTTTATTTTAGAAGTCATAAAATTATAGTTTAGAAAAAGAAATGCCTCAGAAAATGATGAAAATAGTAAGCCTTTGGTTTTTACATGAGTTTCTCCAGAGGAAAAGCATTGGAAGGAGACGTGAGGAAGCAGACTGTGGTTACAACTGTGAGCTGTGCTTCACATTTTCCTAGAGTCACCATTTTAACAATAAAACGTGTTGTTTTTAGCTATTTAACAACATTTCTTCCCAAGGTAATTTATATGTTCACGCTTGGTGAACAACAAAGTTTTAAGCAAATATAGGGCATTATATTATGGCTATTTTTTTATTACTGTTACTATTCTTTTACCTGTTTGGACCAAATTATTTTCAGCTAAGCCTAATAAATAAAACTTCAGTATGTTTCAATATTTCAAGTACCACTAAGTGTGGCCCTCAGTGGTCCCTAGCCCGCAGGGTCTGGGCCAAGCACTGCACAGCAGCCAGGCTCGCAGAGGATAACACCGCAGTAGGCGCCACACGTAACCGCAGACTGGATTCTGATCTGGCAAACGTGGCAACGCTTCTGCTCGTTTTAGTTAATCCCATCAACCTCACCTTCAAGATACCCAGGGTTTTTGTTTAGAAGTGAAACCTATTTGGATCCAGGTAGAGAAAGTAGAATTATTTTAATATGCTATATGATTAATATTGCACCTGTTTTACTGTAATCCAAGAAATGAATCCATCCTGTAACAAATAGACATTCACCTGCTTCAATTTCACTCATTTTCCCTTTATAACCTGTTAGAGTAAATTGTAGTGATATGTATTCTCTCTTGCCAAATTTACAAATATAAATATACACACACACACACAGTCAGTATACACGTCTGCGTACTGTACGTATATATACATGTCTGTATGAAAAGTATGTCTATTCTATCACAAGGTGTATTTACTGCGTGTGTGTGTGTATATATATACACAGTAATATATAGATATATACTGTGAAAAATATGTCTATTCTATCACAATCAATGTGCTCTACAACTTTGACCGTAAGGATATTATTTATTTATATAATCTTTTTTGATATGATTATACTTCAAAAACACTGGGGATTGGTAAACAACAAGAGCCTATTCTAAGGTTATCTAAATTTTTGAGACTTTTCTGTGACTTGGGAAATGGGCCTATAAATCTGCAAAACCATAAGCTTTCCATGAATTCAAATGAATTAGAAATACTGCAAATATAACCTTTTCTTGCATTATTTGGGGATTTAAATTCAGGTTTGGGTGACTCACGGGAGAAATAGAGAAGAAAATATGGGAGTTATGACTCAAATGAGAATACTGTCTCTTACAAGTCAAACTTCTAATATGTTGATTCACCTCTAATTTCCGACGATTCCCTGTCCTCATTCATATGCTTAGTAATAAATTTTAAAAGATAAGACCATCCTTATAAATTTATACATTGCCACAGTGGCAATATTCCCATGAAAAGACAAATAATGTGCTTTCCACGGTTTATGATTGTAGTTTTCCTCCGGGTGTGTGTTTGTAGCAAAAACTGTAGACCATTATATAAGTATTTCCAATTATATAAATTTAACACTCCGTAAAATGTAAATGTCAAATGAAAATTTTCTAGAAGTTTCTATGCATAGCTGGACTTATATATTCATTTTTTCAGTGTCAACTTCAGCAGAGCTGTCAATAATTTTATACATAGTTAATTTGGTAGACTTAGCATATTAGTACCATTCTGTGAATCATCTATACATTAACAAATTAACTGATAACAATAATAGCAAAATCAAGAGTCCTCGTCATACTAAATACTACAATATTTCTGCTGAAATATGGATTATATCATAGCCACTCTCAAATCACAGACTACTGAATATGCTGATCAATGTTCAGTGAGATTTGAGATGTGTATATTTTAATAAGAATTTCAGTATCCTCTTGTCTTTGAAATCTTCTGAGATGTCTATATTTATTTAAGAACTTTCCCATTAATATATATTAGTTCTAATGTTTTCCAAGAAACCTCTAAAGCATCAATTTTCAGGAATTTAATTTAAATTTAAGAAGTCTATATAGATGACAAAGAAATTCTCAGGTTTCATTCGAAGACAAGTACGTGAAGACTTGTGAATGTGATTGTGCTCTCGATTGTCTGTTCAAGGTCACTACTAGTGACAAGAATAACAAGAAAGTTTTCCACTGATAATATGTAATGGAGATATATAATTTTTAGATGATGAAATAGCCCTGAAAAGCTACTGTTTAAGATGTTTAGGGGCCGGGCGCGGTGGCTCATGCCTGTAATCCCAGCACTTTGGGAGGCCAAGGCAGGCGGATCACCTGAGGTCAGGAGTTCAAGACCAGCCTGACCAACATGGAGAAACCCCGTCTCTACTAAAAATACAAAATTAGCCGGGTGTGGTGGCACATGCCTGTAATCCCAGCTACTTGGGAGGCTGACGCGGGAGAATCCCCTGAACCCAGGAGACGGAGGTTGCAGTGAGCCGAGATCGTACCATTGCACTCCTGCCTGGGCAGCAAGAGTGAAACTTCGTCTCAAAAAAAAAAAAAAAAATGAAGTGATTAGGGATATAAAGCCAAAATGATTACCATAGAGACCCTCTGTCACATAATCCACAAAATAAGTGAAGAAATAAGACTAAGCATTACTGATCCAAAACACATCATGAAATTGGTTCCAAAGGAGGCATGAGCTACTCCACAAATCCCAGTGCCTTACCTGTTCTTAGAGTGTCCTCTTCCTGGATTTATAAAATTTTTATATTTATTGGTGCACAAAAGGCCACATCTACCTTCAGTCCATAAAGAATGCATTTTCATATCTATGCATAGATTATTAATTCATCAATGTAAATGGGAGGGTACCCCAGTGAGGGGGCTTCACTTCCTAAAGAATAATCAATAAAACCCTTCAAGTCAGATTACCTTGTTAAAATAAAATATATTAATGAAGTTCAACTTATGGGTCATCCTGTAATATGAAGCTGCTTTTGGAGTTGAGCCTTTAAGTTACTTACTACAGTAATAACAACAGAACTTAACATCCATCAACTCCTACCTTCTCTGTTCATCTTGACTGAGGAGGCAAGAATTCATGGTATTCACCAGAAAGCTAAACAAACGACTGTACAGGGACTTGGCCAAGAGGTCTCGGAAAAACTCAGCAATCTGTATGGTATGACGTCGTATTATCATATCCCCTAAAATGGTAGAAAGAAAAGGAGGAGTGAGCGCAAGGGTTCCCTCATCTAGAAGCCAACCAAAACTCCACATATCCTATCAATTCCCCACACATCCATACGATAAGTGATGTATAAAAATTATACTGATCCTAATAAACGAGTAGGTCTCTGTCAGTTATTACGCAAAATGTTTCCTAAAACAAAAGTCATGTACATTGTAATCTTCTCTGTTAGAATTGTTGACCACAGCATTCCACCTTTATTGTAGGATGTGTAATTTCACCTCAGTTAGGGAAACAGTTCTTCACAGAGTCCCTCCTGGCAAGGCTTTTGATAACAACTTGCTGGTTTGGAGACTGAATCACCCTAAGGCATGTGGAAACGGGCTATCTGGAAAATCGGATATATTTTAAATATTTTCAAAGGCATGATCTCATTAACCGGAATGTGGGTCTGGAGTTTGGAAAGAAGATTGGGCCTTAGGTAGGAATTTCTACGTCATTCTCAAAGACACAGTGATTGAACTCTTGAGTGACAGGTCTGTGGAAGAGACTAGAATAGAGATGGGGCCAAGGCAAAAAGAGCAAGGGTGGTTTGGCATTGAGCCTATCCCATCACTCTTGCAGGAGGGCTGAGTGTAAATGGGAGCCTAGAATTCATATTCTATGGCCTTGGCCAAACTCGCTGACCATTGCATGTCAGGCAAAGAAAGAGACTAGAAACAGGGTGGGGTCCATGTGCAATGCAGCTTGAAGCGTTTTCAGTCTGTTAGAAGCACAGGTGAGGAAGGATATCTACTGATACTGGCAGAAAATGTAGTCAGAGAGGTACAAGTTCAAGGTCATCGAGATGGAACAACACAAGGCGAAAGGGCAGTCAGTGAAAGTGGGTGTGGCCATTTACAACATTGTGAAATTGACGTTCCTAGAGCCATGTGACTGAGGAGTGCAGATGGGTCACCCACAGGGTGGTGGTAGCAAGTGAGGGTGGTGCAAGCAGAGGAAATGATAGACACTAATGGGGAGCTCAATGTTTCTCAAAAGAAGGTGCGAAGAAGAACAATGTCTTCAAGATGCTTAGTGTGGCAGGAGGCAAGGGTGCCAGTGGGGCCTCCTAAGCCACCTAAAGTGACGAGCTGGTCTATCTTTGAAAGACTGTTGGCCTCATTCCTGAAATGCCTACTGCATTTCAGAAAGATTATTTCAGAAGTAGTGTGGAAGGAGGGCAAGTTGAGATAAGGCCAGATAAAAGAGGAATAGGAGTGTCTTGCTGTAATGCAGGGAAAGAATGATAAATTCAGCAGTGCTGATGAAAATGAAGGGTAGGAAGTAGGAATGGGAGATATTCATGGCGTCTGTCTGACCTATGAATGGAGGAGTTGGAAGAGAAAGAGCTATCAAGGATAACTTTTGGGCAACTGAGTGAACAACAGGGAGATTCATTAAGTTTGGGGATATTCTGAGAGTAAGAGTGAGGCAGGAATCATGACTCACCTACCTAAATACCTGCAAGTAGGCCCAAAAGGTCATAGAGGAAGAATAGTAGAGATTTAGAGAAAAAAGGTTAGATGAATGGTGAGTTCTCACAATCACAATAAAGAGGAAAACATAAGGCCATCATTTAGAGTGAGTACTTGAAGATCATGTGGGAAAACCACTCTCTTTGTTCACTGAGTAGAGATGCATGTAGCACAGAGATTAAGCATGTCATCTGGGAGTCAGACAGCACTAGATTCTAATTCCAGACATGTCACTTACTAGTGATTTGAGGTTCAAAGTCATTTAACTTATTTGAATTTTAGTTTTCCCCTCCGTTAAAATAGAAATAGTAATGCCCACATCAGAGCAATCTGTGAGAATTCAAACACGACAATTTTTATAGGACTTGGCACAATGCCTATCAGTTTATAAATGCCCAATAAATGACAGCTATTCTAGCCAATGAGGTAGCAGGAAAAGGTCGGCCCTTCATTGAAGAGTGCAGCATGGCACCACACATGCAAATGGATCCAATATTTTATTTGAAGAAACCCTCTTGGATTGATGGTTTTGTTTTTCTAAGATGACAGATTATCTAGAAAGGGTGACCAGTTAGGCAAAATCGTCTCTCAGGACTATAAAGAGTCTAAACTATAGTCACATCAAATGACCAAACAGGCTCATAATGCTTTTCTCATTTGACCTTAAATTCATAGAAATAGTTTCACTAAGTGGGGACAGGTCAAACTGTATTTAATTTTCATATTTGATTCTAAATTGCACAAAGATGTTAGAGTATAAAAAAAATACCTTTAAAATATTGAATATCAGTTGTTAAGGCAGATGCCAACTCATCTGTTGATACTTGTAACATTCCAGCCACTAAAATTAAATCAGCATTATAAACATAAAGTTAGTATATTTTTTGATTCCAAGAACATTGAATTTTATGGCTATAATTGATAAGTCTTATATAGGCACATTACAAAACATGAGTATTTTAAAAAGTCATTACTACTGTAATTGTCAAATTCAACTAGAGAAACATCTTAATCAAAATATTAACGAGTTCTTACAGTTCTGTGCATTAAATCACAGCAGATTTTTTTCCTCCCTGTCCTGACAGATGGTATGGAATTGTTTTTTTCCAAGTTCCTGGTTAAATCTCTTTGATATAGGTGAAGATATGTTGTTTATTGACAATCTGTGGTTTTAAGGTATTTTTTAAAATCTGGGAGCAACTAAAGAGGCAGCTTCAGAGAGCGAGATTCTTGGCAAGATCTTTGAAAGGGAAGTAATTACATTCTGTTTAAAATGTTTAGCTAATAACATGCCTCCAAAATACACTGGGTGGTGGGGTGAAGGGTACTTAGAACAATATAAACAAACACAAGTATGTGCTAAAGAATCAGTGTTGGTAACGTGGTGCACAGAATGAGAACAAAAAAGTACATCTTGCTATTCATTTCCACAACAGATTATAAGAAAAAACAAAGTAGACAATTTTCCCAGCTCACTGAATTCTACTTATAGAGGAAAGGGTTTACGCCAACAGGCTTTTCTGTACTATGTCGCCCTCTACTGGTAGATCTACAAAATTGCACATCAATGTGGTGAATGTCAGAAGGTCAAGTTCCACTGACCTTGTTCCAGGAGCTGGAGGTCAGAAACGAAGGCGGAGTTCCCCTCAGTCAGGGCAGTAAACCGAATGTCCCCAAGGTGCAATATTGCTGCTAGAATTACAAACAGATTCTCCACCTCCTATGCGTTTTACAAACAGAGACAATGAATAGGGTGCTTAGAAGAAAGATTAAAAGGCAAAATGTTTAAATATCTAAAAGCAAGTTACAAAAATGATGACCCTATTAACGAGGTTGTGAGTTTGCAGATTCCAAATGTTCGCTATGGCAAGAAAACTACTAGTCTCTACCTCAACATCAAAACCTCATAATTCAAAGCATATTTTCTCTAAATCAATGCTTCTGTTCCTGAAATATAAGAGAGTCAGGAAATAATATTCTGATATAAATTAACAGCTTACAGATAATCGTCATAACAAAAATGAATAATTGTGTGCTGTGGGTTTGACTGGCTGAACTTCACTTGTAAGGTTAGACTTCACTCCCCCTCCTCTCCAGGCTCATGTTGGATGCTATTTAGACTTTGCAGTTGCTGTGGCCGCTTCATTCAAGAACCTACATTATAGTGTTCATTTCTTTGCTATCTCTCTTAAGAGATAAATTAACATGATGATTACAAAATTGTTTACTTCTCCAGGAAAAACTAAAGGAGGCGTAATGAAAACCACCGTGCCTAGACTCACAAAATGCTAATTGTTTTTTAAGGTATTTTAAGGAAAACAGAAAAAAAATGGATGTTGGCAAGAGCTATCTTTGAGCAGAGGGTAGCAGGAAGTAAGAGAGTGCTGAAAGAGAATCTGGAACGCTGCATAAAGAAATAAATGAGACCTTAAATTTGATTTTGGATAGTCATTTTTTGGCAAGAATGAAAAATCAAGAAAAAGCTGCAAGTTAAACTGTACTTCTCTAGAATGTCAAATATTTAGCATGATGATATCAATAGTAAAACAGGTTGAGCCCTGTGAAGGGCGAGTGGCATAGCCTGTTCCATTCTCAGTCTCCTAATCTGTAATTTGAGAACAGAAACTCCTTCCATAACTACTGTGGGAGCTGTTCTAAGAACAATGCTGATGTGCTTTATAAATATACAGTGGAAACAATACACTTCTTGAGACTTCCGCGATTTCCTCCAGAGCCTGTAGTTTTCATAATAAGGTAAGATTTTACCAATTTTAAAACGAGAGCATTGAAAAGAATGATCTCTAATTTTCAGGTATAATAATATTTTATGAAGGTCATATACATATAAAAATGTTTTCAGTTAATCCCTAAATCATAAATTTGTTTTTCAAATTTCATTTACTTATGCTGTATAAAATGGCATTATTCAAGCCTCTCAAACTACTTAACTACTTGCCAATTTATTTTTTTTCCTTTTTTTTTTTTTTTTTTTTTTGAGACAGGGTCTCATTCTGTTGCCCAGGCTGGACTACAGTGGCACAATCATAGCTTACTACAGCCTTGACCTCCCGGGCTCAAGTGATCCTCCCACTTCAGCCTCTTGAGTAGCTAGGACTACAGGCAAAAATTAGTGTCCAGCTAATGTTTTTGAAAACAGTTGCAGAGATGGGGATCTCGCTATGCTGTTCAGGTCGGTCTTGAACTCCTGGCCTCAAGCAATCCTCTCATCTTGGTCTCCCAAAGTGCTGGGATTAGAGGCGTGCACCACCATGCCCAGCTTTTTTTTTTTTTAATCAATTAGTCTTCATGAAAGGTACTGGTACCTGCAAGATAGGCACCTCTGGAGAGACAGCTGAAGAATCTATACTGTCCTCAAGAATCTCATAATTTAGTGATGGAGACAGAACTGTGAAAATAACTATAATGTGCATTACAGTGTGCTGGATTCTATAACAAAAGTAAAAATAAACTCCTTCCTGAGCAGAAAGGAGGCTGTGATTCTGTGTCTCTGCGCAGTGAGCAGCCATCCCTGCCACCCTGCTAGACGGCAGAGCTGGAGGCACGGTTACGAACAGATCTCTCAGGACCACAATCGCAAGCATTGATTCAAGAACTCACTGGCCCAGAAATACCATCCTTTGAATCTTACTGGACATAATCCATCCCTCTAAAGTGGATTCAATTGTCTTCATTCAAGTCACTCCCAGGGTCAGGATGAAATAATTAATTTCATGGTTTTTGCTAGTGTGTACCTACTACTTTTACCAAGAAGGCTATAAGAGTCTCCCTGGGTTACCTTAGTCAGAAAGTGTACTTTGCTTGCCCTGCCTTTGAGGATCAGTCATGAATTTTCAAAGCCCTGTTTCCAGGCAACTGGTATGTTGGCAGAATGGTTTCTATCCATATCTCTAGCTTCACTTCCTATGAGGAAGCAGACATCTCAGGCATGGAAGGAGGGAAAAATATCAAAACAAAAAAGTACCACAGCAGCAAGTGCAAAGACAGAACAGTGCCAGTGGATAGGACTCAGTAAAGGAGAAAAACAGAGGCTGGGTAATCAGAGCCAAAAAGAATGAGACGCCACGTGATTGCGGGCTCCTCGAGTTCCAGTCTCTCAACACGGCAAGGGTGGGTGCAGCAAGGTGCCCCCGCATTCACTGATTTAGGGTGAGCCTCACTTCCTTCCTCTTCCCCCTGTGGACCTCTCCACCCTCCCCACCCACTCACTGCCCCCACGTATTGGCTTCAGAAAAATAAAAAGAACAACTTTAAATCTGTGACCTAGTCTGGGCTTGTGTACTAGTGGCATGTCTGAGTTATCCCTGTGATATTATATTAAATATTCATGAGGAATTGCCTGTAAATTGACCATAATCCAAAATACCACCATGTTGAATGGAGGCAAAGATAATGCCTCTGGGAAATAGAGATTGAAGGGAATTCTGAGAGGTCTTTCTCAAGCCTGAGACCATTTCTTATGTCTTATTCACCGGACAGTGCTGTTTAATTCAGTAACCGCTAACTACACATGGCTATGTCAATTTAAATGAATTAAAATAAAGAAATATTAAACATTTATTTCTTCAGTCCACTAGCCACACTTCAAGTGTCCAGGAGCCACACGTGGCTGGAAGCTACCGTGTGGTACAGCCCAGAGCAGGTCACCGACGTTTCCATCATCAGAGATGGTTCTACTGCACGGCTATGGTCTAAAAGTTTTAAAGTGTAATTTTTCAGCTTCATAATGCTTGGAGGTATTTGGCAATTCTGTGCATTCAAATATAACAATATTGAAACATTTACATTGTTCAAGAAGATGTTTTAACAAGGTGATTATGTTAATTTTCAAGTGATTCTTAACACGAACGGTTACTTCAGGTTTATCAGTTTTTTTCATGGGTTGATCAAATATAAAGTTATTTGATCTGTTTTGGATACGTATATAAAATATATATTTTGAATATTATATATTTAAAATTTAAATTATATTTTATAAATATAATCTATAAATTATAAAGTTTATGATCTATTAAAATATATTTTAAATATTTTAAAATTATATATTAAAAAATATATAATGTATATATTATATTCATTTTGGGAAAGGGCTCCTTGTCCACCCTCTTGAAAACTGCACCCGCTCCTCTTGTCACTCTCTGCTGACTGCTCTGTTTTCTTCCTAGTTCCCTTCTTCCTCAACAAGTGGATTAAGTCCTGCCCCCTGCCCCCTGCCCCCACTAGCACGTCAGCTCTAGGAGGCAGGGACTGGGGCTTATTGTCTGCCGAATCATCAGTGTCCTCGGCAACACCTGGAATGTCATAGGGGCTCAGTAAATACTTCTGAATGAATAACTTTTATAAATCAGTAGAAGGTTGATTTACTCAGTGAAATATTTATGACATGACTCACCAAGTTGCTGAAGCCAACTACATTCAGGGCTTGTTTCAAAACAGCCAATTTCTCCCTGTTCAGAGAACGCTCCCCTGTGGACGCATCGTCCTGCATGGTCTGGTTCAAATACCTGTTAGGAGACAAGGCGTGTAACGTTACCGCTTGGCTTCTGGTCAGACTTCTGTGGTTAAAAGTCACTTCTGCCATATTTGATCTCTACAATGATGGGAATCACCTGGACATGGTGTCCCCATGTTTTCAAACCGTTTGGTGCAGAACAGCACATGATGTCTCAGGAAAGGGAAACGTTAGTTCTTGTTGTACCAGGACATATTTACATTCCTTTACTCGGTTTTCATCTTAGCTGCTGCACCTTTCCTTGTGACAGGAGAAGGTCACAAGTGATTCATGTCTTTTTTTTTTTTTTTTTTTTTTTTTTTTTTTTTTTTTTTTTTTTTTTTGAGATGGAGTTTCGCTCTTGTCGCCCAGGCTAGAGTGCAGTGGCACAGTCTTGGCTCACTGCAACCTCTGCCTCCCAGGTTCAAGCGTTTCTCCTGCCTTAGCCTCTTGAGTAACTGGGACTACAGGTGCGCACCACCATGCCCAGCTAATTTTTGTATTTTCAGTAGAGACAGGGTTTCACCATGTTGGTCAGGCTGGTCTTAAACTCCTGACCTCGGCCTCCCAAAGTGCTGGGATTATAGGTGTGAGCCACCGCACCTGGCCGTGACTCATATATTTCATATAAAAATTTGACAGGTTCTATCATATGCTTTGTAATTAATATCTGAACTAAAGATGCCTAATTTATAGTAAGTTATTATTTTTCCTTGTTGGTACTTTTCAATAATGAGATGGTTGATTATGCCATTGATTTATTCCTTTCCCTCAACAAACGTGCATGAATCACCTATTTAACACAGGCAATACCAAGCAGCTGAGAATATGAAGGAAAAGGACTCAACAACAGCAGAATAAACTATGCAGGGGCACAGACAAGGGAGATAGAATCAGAGAGACAGACTCCAGGTATAAGTGTACAGGAAGGGGCCGCACCCAGAAGTGGACCATGAGGAAACACGGTGGGGAAAAGCAGGTTTTGGTTCTAAGAGTTGCCATATAAGACTTTGCCAAGCAACTCCCAGGCTTTCAGCTTATCCCTGGAATAATTAGAACATGTACAAAGCAGAAAGAATTGGTCAAGTATGATGCATATGGGGGAAATATATCCATGTGTGCAAAATTGGAGCCTAAGGTGAGATGAGCAAAGATTGATGAGATTGGAGAAGTAGCCAGGGTTTTGTACAGCTTGAAAAAGAGTTTGTCATGTCTTGGAAGTGGCGGGCAGCTCTGAGGGCCTTGCAACAAAGAAGTGGTACGACCAGGTTGGTGCCTTGGAAAGAATATGCTGGTAGCCCAGGGCAAGATTACCTGGAAAGAGGTAAGGCAAGTAAGGGGAGCATGTGGCCCAGTGAGAGACCAGTGGTGGTGAAGAAGAGGACGGATGGCGAGAGGAGAAGGGAGGAGGCAGAGCTGGCAGTACGAGGGGGTGAACTGGGCACCGGGAGGTGGAAAGCGGGGAGTTCATGATGAGTAGCAAGTCTCCATCTGGGAAAACAGGGTGGACTGCGGGCCCGTTCAACTGGAAAACATTCTCAAGAGGAGGAACAGGTTTCTGGAAGGATAAAGTCTTATATTTGATATTAGACACATTGACTTTAAACTACTTGTTAAAGTTTAAATGTAGTCCCAAGAAATAATAGCTATAAAGATCTGGAATTCAGAAAAACACTAGATAATAGGATCTGGAAGTCATCAGCATGCAGAAGGCTAAAACCATGGGAGAGGGTGAGCTCACACAAAATGAGATGCTGGAATTAGGGCTGAGGAAAGAATGGAGTGTCCAAGATGGAGTAAGAATGTTACAAGAAATTTGAGTCATTAAAACAGAAGGTTTTTTTTGTTTTTTGTTTTTTTTGAGACGGAGTCTTGCCCTGTTGCCCAGGTTACAGTGCAGTGTGACGATCTCACTGCAACCTCCTACTTCTTGGTTTAAGCAATTCCCCTGCCTCAGTCTCCTGAGTAGCTGGGATGACAGGCGCACACCACCACGCCCGGCTAATTTTTGTATTTTAGTAGAGACGAGGTTTCACCATCTTGGCCAGGCTGGTCTCAAACTCCTGACCTCATGATCCACCCACCTCAGCCTCCCAAAATGCTGGGATGACAGGTGTGAGCCACTGTGCCTGGCTGGAAAAGGTGCCTTTAAGACTGAATGATAGTGATGGAAAAGAGACCACAGAAACAAGGAAATTATGCCCTTGACAAGTGGAATGTTTTTTGGAATTGGGAGAAGCAGATCGCAATGGCCATGTGAGCTGGGTCTGTGGGAATGTCTTTTTCCTCAATCTCGGCTGAGGTTGGAAGAACAATCTAGGGGCTGGAGTGGGGTGTGGGGAAGACTTTGGAATATGAACCTGCTGAGGTAGAAGCATAAAAACCCGCATAAAAAACTTCAAGAAAGGGAGCCGTGGAGAGTACTGAAGAGGGGGAAATGGATGAGGTAAGGAGAGGGTGTGGAGTTGGTGCAAGGGGAGGGTCTGCCTCTCACTGCAGAAACGACCTGACTTTCTAGGACGTGCCAGGTAAGGGGACAAATATGACCCTGAAGGCTGGTGCCATCTCAGGGGAGGAGAGCAACCAATGCTTGTAGCTTTGGTTTTTCTAGGAGAGAAAGAGGTTGAGGTTTCGGTGACCAAGTGAAGGTCGTGGGAACCTAAGACATTTGCTGCGGAGAAGGGACACAGTTGCGAAGCAGGGAGCAGCAGGAGCTGAGCTGATGCTGCAGCATGCCGTGCCCAGGTGGCGGTGGAGACCAGCTCCTGGGGTGGGGTCACCTCCTCTAGGGCCCCTCAAATGCCTGATGGAGGATGAGCAAGCTGGTCAGAGGGTCCTTTTGTCTGCAATCTATAAACCTTTAGTAATAAACCTTTTATTATTATTATTATTATTATCATCACCATCATCATCATTATTATTATTATAATACAGGGTCTTGCTCTGTTCCCAGGCTGGATGGCATGGTGTGATCTCAACTCATTGCAGCTCTGCCTTCCAGGCACAAATGATCCTCCCACTTCAGCCTCTCGAATAGCTGGGATCACAGGCACATGTCGCCACGCCTGGCTAATTTTTTGTATTTTTAGTAGAGACACGGTCTTGCCATGTGGCCCAGGCTGGTCTTGAACTCCTGATCTCAAGCAGTCTGCATGTCTTGGCCTCCCAAAGTGCTGGAATTGTAAGTGTGAGCCACCACACGCTGGCCCTAGTGATAAATCTTAATGATAAAAAATTGTAACCCCTCTCCATACTTCTGGTCCTTACAGTAGGTTTCTATGCATCTTCCTGACATTATCTTTTTTTTCTGACTTCCTTGATCATTGCACAGGTTAATATTCCATTGAGGGGCCACTTGTCTTGCAAAGAACAATTGGCTCCTGTTATCATTAGAGTCAAATGGGCAAAAAAGAAAACCTTTTACAATTCTTGATAAGTAATCAATTAGTAAGCTCCCCGTAGACCTGCACCAGCTAGCTTAAGTATTTCTTTAAACCTCCCATCTTCCATTGTGTTTTACTTTTTAGCCTAGAATTTACAGCAGCTGTGACCCACTCCATGAGGAAGTATGAATACAGCGGCTTTTTTATTGCAGTTAAATTTTGGGTAGATGAAGCCCTGTGAACCCCGTGAAGAAATCCTGGTAGTTGCAGACAGGTCTGTTAACTAGGTAATGGGTCAGGTGGGAACCAATTCAAAACAGACAATTTGAAAGGGCAGTTTGCCTGATGGCAGGAAAGATGCCTTCAGCTTGGTTGTGAGCATTTTCCTCTGTAGCCAGAAAACTTGTCATAAAGACGAAGAAAAAAACACAATGCCTTTTACACAATACTTAAAATTCTCCCACTATTCAAAAGCATCTAGGATGATTTCACTAGAAATGCAGTTCTTACTTATCAGCAAAACTATATCTTAAAATGGGAAGGTTAGTACCAGAATAAAAAAAAATACATGTTTATTTTTGGAGATTAAAAATACAAATTTTCCCTTTGACATCACTCAATCATGAAATCTCACATAAGGGCAAAAAAAAAAAAAAAAACTTGGAAAATATGCATGGTAAAATATGGAAACTAAGAATCTGGAGACATATTTAAGTACTATTTGACAATTAAAAAAAAAACCCAAACATTTAAATTTTTATTATCTGTAAAACAGAGTAAAAATATATTAAAAATAGATTTAAAAATTCTCCATTTCTAGTTCACAGTGGTTTTGTGAATGACAAATGAGACATTGCATGTGGTATGCCTCCTACACTCAGGTTGCAATGCATGTACGGAATATGAGTATTTCCTGGAATGATTATATCTTGCCTATGTGGGCAACTTTTAGTCAGTGTACTCCGTCATTAATGAAGCTCTTAATCAAATAAATGACTGCGCCACTAACCATCTTAAACCATGAAATATGCTTTTCTATACTTTTCAGACAGAAAAAAGTAACAAATAGGTAAAAGGAAAAGATCATAGTTCACACTTCGCTGTTGTATACTGATGTGAATTGCCTGAAAGTTGACAATCATCGATGCAATGTTACAATGGCATTCCCAGACTTTTTTCTTTTTTTTTTTCTTAACAGTTTGAAATAGGTAAGAATAATGATGGGTAATGAGTCATTGACTTCCCAGTGGCCAGTGGACTCGCTTTACCTCCACAGATGTTATCCCACTAATCTCAATACAGTGGCTGAGAACCATCCTAGATGAATCAAAGGAAGGGTTTCATCTAAGAGTTTCCAGTTTTGCCCCCATATTGATTCATGGTCACATAACCTCTAGCATTCAGACCCTTTAACTTAATATTCAATGTCTTCTATACTATTCTTCTATGAGTCAAAATCATACATCTATAGCTTAAGCCTATTTTCTTATCCTCTTTGGCTCTTGGAACACTGGCAACATCTACATATCTCCATGTGCAGAGTCAGAAATTTCAGAGAGCATTTAAGAGTCATTGCTATTTTGTTTTTAAAAGATTGGCAGAACAAGGGAATAGTCTGTCTGCTGTTTCC